CCCGATCATCCCAGACCATGAAGCTAGCCGTTGGTCCACGGAATGGGCCTCGCACTGAATTTCGAGTGAAACGGTTTACAGCAAAGCAGACATTCACCGTAGCTACCCCCGGAACACGCATCGTTTTCCGATGGTAACGCAAGGTGATAGCGGACGCAATGACTGGCTGTTCACACGTGTCACAAACTAACCCATCTCTTACTGTACGCGGGAACTCGGATCTTGCTTATACAAAAGCTGCTTTGGAGATAACACATCAGTTGGCAAACTCCCAGACTGATAGAGCCGGTATGATTTTAGTGAGGAGGATTCTAGTTTGTTGTGAGGAAATATTTTCCGGTGCTAGTCTTACGTTGGCCTCCCTCAACTACGCATTAGGCAACTCTCCAGACCTGTTGGCCAACAGGTCATGAGATTGCGCCCCGTGGCTGATGTCAAATAAAAGCCTCGGTCTAAAGCGTGCCACGTGCAAAGCAAGACCCACAACGATCCAACGGAGCCCGCAGTCAATACAGTCTTCATCGTGGTCCAATTCATCGACAGTGTAGTCCGATTGGGGGCGCAATGACAATATGGTAGGGAATTGTGCTATTGGGTTCATAAACCTGGGTTGGGACGAGTGTGCTTGCAAAACACTACTACACTAACATGCATAATATATATGTATGGATTCAGGTACGTCGAGGTAGTAGTCAATACAATACACTGAACGGGGTTTATTACCTAATCGAAAGCTAGCCTCGGCTAGGGATAGAAGTTGCAACCCAGGAATATGTTACGGCTTCGCCTGATAAATTTGGATGTTAAGGTCTCTATTATGGGATAATATTGTATATATAAAGCAGAGTCGGATGGCTAAAAGCTCCCCTCAGCAGGCGTTCCCGACGGAGGATAAATCGTTCAAGAGAGTAGGGAAAATGACCACCCATATGGCAATCGGTTGCTTACGATACCAGAGTTATGGTGAACAGAAAGATGCCGGGAAGCAGGCAACGAAAGCCCTATGTGTCAGTCGGGACTATACAGGGTGCTAAATAAGAGCCTACTGCTTAAAGGGAACTTATGGAGTGTTAAAATATTGGGATGACAAAAGCGCCGCTTTCGCACCTTAGTTATAAAAATAAAAAATGCAAATGTCAGATTGCAAAGAGAAAACCCCGATTCAACGGCAACCCGAAAAGGATACTGAAAGACTGGTCTGTGACTTGAAGATTCCACAGATTTATCCGAAGGTCATCGGCGGATATGAAAGTCTCCTGGTCGGAACTGATGGAAATGGAGTTTATGTGGTAGGCATGAGCATTGGCAAAAATGCGTCGCGGTTGAGCTTCAACGGTGAGTGAGGTGGGCTGGTAACGGGGCACTCGCAAATCTCCAGCGTTGTGCACTTTATGTCCCGAACTCGGGTCGTGAAGATCGGTATCCTCCTCGAAGGTCTCATCGAAGACATCGTCTTTAACGTTGTACACTGTCGCCCTCTTCATGCGCTCTGACAGGCGCCATAGTTTAATGGTCTTTTCTGAAGAACAGAAAGAAGGTAAACAATACGCGTAAACAGATGGAGTGGAAAGGTTGCATAAATAGGGACAAACCGTCGAGCAGTGGTACTCTTAAAAAAAGGGCAAACCATTTGTGACGCACTAGGCAGGCATTGTTTTTTTTTAAATCACATTTACAATGAGAACAAAAATGAGTTTTTGTGTGTGTGTGTGTGTGTG